GAAAGTTATCCAGAAGAGACCACATCTTAGGCCACAGAGCAATCCTCAACAAGATCCAAAACGTTGAGAGAATTCAAAGTATCTTCTCTGACCACAATGCCATCAAGGTAGAAATTAACAATAGAAAGAGAAAGGAAAAAAAATCAATTACATAGAAACTGAATAATACCTTGCGTACACATCACTGGGTAATAGAAGAAATCAGAGATGGAATCAAAAAATTCCTAGGATCAAATGAGAATGAAAACACATCATACCAAAACTTTTGGGACACAACAGAGGCAGTCCTCAGAGGACAATTTATAGCAATGATGCACATATCAAAAAAGAAGAAAGAGATAAAATCAAAACATTAACTACAGAACTCAAACAAATAGAAAGAGAACAGCAAAAAAAGCCCACAACCACCAGAAGAAAGGAAACAGTAAATATCAGAGCAGAAATATATGGAATAGAGAACAGAAAAACAATAGAAAGAGTCAACAAAACCAAAAGTTGGTTCTTTGAAAGAATCAACAAAATCGACAAACTAACGGCCAGACTGACCAAAGCAAAACAGGAGAGGACACAAATAACCAAAATAAGAAATGAAATGGGGGACATTACAACAGACCCAACTGAAATAAAATGGATTATAACAGAATATTATGAAAAACTATACACCAACAAACTTGAAAACCTAGAGTAAATAGATAAATTTCTAGAAACACACAGCCTACCGAAACTACAACAAAGTGATGTTGAAAATCTGAACAGACCCATAACAAGAGAAGAGATTGAAAAAGTAATAAAAAAACCTCCTAACCAAAAAAAGCCCTGGCCCAGATGGCTTCACTGAAGAATTCTGCAAAACATTTGCAGAAGAGCTTGTACCAGTACTACTCAAGCTATTTCAGAGCATAGAAGAGGAAGCATCACTTCCAAATTCATTCCATGGAGCCAGCATAATGCTGATACCAAAACCAGTCAAAGACATCACAAAAAAAGAAAATTACAGACCAATATCTCTCAGCAATATAGATGCAAAAATTCTCAACAAAATTCTAGCCAATAGAATTCAGCATCATATAAAAAAAAATACACCACGACCAAGTAGGATTCATATGAGGTATGTAAGGATGGTTCAACATTAGAAAATCAATCAACGTAATCCACCACACAAATAAAAGGAAAGAAAAGAATCACATGATCATCTCAGTTGACATAGAAAAGGGAATCGACAAAGTCCAACACCCATTCCTGATAAAAACTCCCAATAAAATCGGAATAGAAGGAAAATTTCTAAACATAATAAAGGGCATCTATGCAAAACAAATGGCCAACATCATTCTTAATGGAGAGAGGCTGAAAATATTCCCCTTGAATACAGGAACAAAACAAGGATGCCCTTTATCATCACTCCTATTTAACATTGTGCTGGAAGTTCTAGCTAGAACAATAAGGCAAGAAAAAGAAATAAAGGGCATCCAAATTGGTAATGAAGAAGTTAAACAGTCCCTGTTTGTGGATGATATGATACTAT